AGCGTGGGGTGTGGTGGCAGCGGGAAGGCGGCTGCAGGCAGCACTGGGCCCACAGTGCCGGGCCCTGAGCGGGCCTCGTGCATGCCTGCCGCCTGGTCCCCACCCAGTGTCCCAGGCAAGGAGGGCCCGCTCAGGGCACGGCCCTGCCTGAGCTGGCCCGGCCTCCCCCGTCCTCCCAGCCCTCTGTCCCTGGAGCCAGGCCAGGTGCGAACGGCTGGCTTTGCAGAAGGCAGGGCCACCAGGAGCTGCATCCAGTCAGGTGCATGTCGCCCACGGATCCAAACGTGGACTTTTCCTGTCACTGCAGGGACAGCCGCCCACGAGCCTGCCTCCCCTAGGCTGCGCGGCCACAGTCTCCTGTCCGGAACCCAGGGAGCTTCTGCCAGGAAAGCCGGCGCAGGAGCAGAAAGCCGGCCTCGGGGTGGCCGAGCACGTGGGCAAGGTGACCCTCCTGTCGGCTGGCCGCCTGTCCCCCCCAGTCAGGTGTGTCCTGGGAATACAGCGGGACAGGCGGACGGCCCTGCCCTCAGATCAGGGACAGGCGGTAGTCAGAGGCACAAGTGGGAGGGGGAGGCCCCGTCAGTGTCCGCTGAGCCGGGGTGGGGGTCGGGGGCCCTGGGCAAAGCCGACCGGGGCGTGGCTTCCAGAAGCCGAGCCAGCCCCCCGGGGTCTGCACGTCGCAGGTGCCGCGTGCGGCCGTTCTCGCTGTTTTACTCGTGGATTGTGTTCCTGGTGTCCAGTCTGAGACTCCTTTGCCCAGCCCTCAGTCCCGACGTTTTTCTTCTGTGTGTGGGTTTGTTTTTTAGTTTTACGGTTTAATTTTTGACGGTTAAGTCCAGGGTCCAGTCTGAGTCACATTTTGTCCGAGGGATGAGGCTTAAGTCGAAGTCTCTTTTTTCTAACTGGGGCGCTGACCCGCGCCAGCACCGCTGGGGGGCTGCCCCTGCGCCACGGAACTGCCTTCCCGGTTCTGTTTAAACCGGGCTGGGCGTGTTCGTGTGGGTTCCCCCGGGTCTCTG